CTTCAATTTAGAAAAGGCGTTGCCCCCGTACCCACAACCCACATAACGATAACTCCCCCTGATTGGATTGATGCTTCCGTTACGCTCGCTCCATTCTGCTCCAGCATCTGTCCCTCATCTGGTATATGAGTCATATCTAACAAATCTTCACATTAGTGAATATCTAGCACTTTAGGAGAAAGTTACCCGAGAGTTTCTCAAATAACAAAGTGGATTGAGCCACCGTGTTTGTCTAGCAACTGTAAATAATCAACAAGTTTAAGCAATGCAATAACTTGTTGATAATAACTGGCTTGGTCAACATATCAACTGCATTCTCATTAGTATGAACCTTTTGCAAAAATATCTCACCAGAAACAATTAATTCTCTAATCTTGTGATACCTGACATCGATGTGCTTAGTTCGCTTATGGTACACCTGGCTCTTGGCTAAATAAATGACACTTTGACTATCACAATACAACTCAACTCCACCTTCGTTAACACCCAATTCCTTTACTAGCCCAGTAAGTCATAAGACTTCTTTAGCAGCTTCAGCTACTACCATGTACACAACTTTAATTGTAGATAATGTCACAATAGGCTAAACTGTTGATTTTTAATATATAGGCTCTCCACAAAGAGTAAACACAAAGAACAAAGATTTCCAATATATAAGTGTAAGTCATCCAAATCACCTGCATAGTCTGAATCCGCGTACCCCACAATTGGAGGATCATTCTGCTGATTGTCAAAAATAATTTCATGTTCTATAGTACCCTTCATATATCTGAAAATTCACTTGACTGTTTTCCAATGTCGCATTCCAGGTTTAGACATATATTTGCAAACTTGACTAATAACAGGAGCCAAATCAGGGCGAGTACATACCACTGCATACATCAAACAACCAACTGCACTGACATATGAAGCCTTTGCCATGTCTTCAATTTCTCTATCTGTCTTCGGACACTGTTCTGAAAAAAGCTTAAACAGATTTGGCAATGTAGTACTAAGAGGTTTTGCTTTGCTCATCTCAAACTGGTCTAGCACTTTCTCAACATAGTCTCGTTGAGATAAACACAGTCGTCTTAAGTCTCTATCTCGATAAGTCTCCATTTTAAGAATTTTCTTTGTAGGACACAAGTCTTTCATATCAAATTTCTGGCTCAATAAAGCTTTCAAACCAAGTACGTCATGTATGTTCTTTTTAGCAATCAGAATATTGTCAACATATAGTAACAAAAAAATAATAGAACCATCATCAAGATTCTTGACATAGACACAACAATCATACTCACATCGCTTGTAGCCAATCTGAATGATGTAGGAGTCGAACCTTTTATACCATCGTCTTGGATACTGTTTCAACCCATACAACGATTTCTTTAATCTGCATACCAGATGCTCCTATCTATGTTGAGTTAATCCTTCTGGCCGCTCCATGTGAATCTGCTCCTCCAGATTACCATGCAAGCATACAGTTTTAACATTCATCTGCTCCAGATTACAAATCCCAAATAGTTATCCCCTTATGCTGTGAAAAATCCATTGCTATCAATCGAGCCTTGAACTTTTCATTTTCTTTTTCTGATATTGTTGTTTTCCTTCTGTATACCCATTTGCACCCAATAGTTTTCTTTCCCTCAGAAAACTAAACTAGTTCTCATGTATGATTTTTCTGCAAAGACTCCATCTCCTCAATCATTGCACCCATTCATTTCTCTCTCTTGGTTGGTGATAGCTCCTTGAAAGGTGGCTGGATCATCACTGCTAATGAGAAGTGCACATGAGACCAAATCTTCATAATTCAATCGCTTGGAGACCTTATATTGTTGTGTCTCTGTCTATCTTTGGCTAGATTATAATTCTACAAATCATCTGTAATGAAATCACCACGCGTTGAATTTGAATTTTCAACTCTCTCAGTTGTTATTGAATGTTGTTCTAAATCCATCTGCACTGTATCTGTAATATTCTCTGGCACTTTGTTTTGATTTTGCTGCAACATGAACTGCACATCAAAAATGACATGTCTATTGATCACCATCTTCTTTGCAATCGGATCTCAAAGCTTGTATCCTTTGACACTTTTTTATAGCCCAGAAAAATACATTTCTTGGATTTTAGATCAAGTTTTGATCTTTCATCGTCAGGTGCATGCATATAAGCAGAACAACTTAAAATTCACAAACTATCAAAATTAACTGCATTGTCTGTCCATATATCTTATGCAACCTTGTCACCCAATGATGCCCGAGGCGATCTATTGATAAGGTAGCACGCCATGTTTATAGCCTTTGTCCAGAAACTTTTAGGAAACCCTGCATTCAGTCTCAAGCATATTGCCCTTACAATTAAAGACCTGTTCATCCTTTCTGCAATGTCATTTTGCCGCGGTGTCTTGCGAACTGAAAAATGCCTCTGAATCCCATGCTCCTCACAAAATTTCTGAAACTGCGACTCTGTGTACTCTATTCTATTATCAGAACTGACTTTAGTCTGTTTTCCAAGAACACAAAACTTAAAAAAATCGAGCTTACAGCTTTTAACACCATGCAACAAATTTCTTTTATTCGATTCAACCATCCCATGTTCAATAAAATGACCAAGACGCATGTGCCATAATTTTGTATTATCATCATCTGACTCAACAGAATGAACTTCATCTACAACCGTACTCCCCAACAGTTTGTAGATATTTCTTGCAGTTAACTTTTCTTTCATCACAGTCAATGCACTCTTAACAATTCTGATTGTTTCCCTATTCTCATCTGTTTTAGAAATAAAACTATTTCTATGTAGAATGGTCAATGAAATCAATTTCTTCTTTAAATCTGGAATACATTGTCATCGTATATCTTAATTCCGACTTCACAAGTACCAACAATATTGCAACATCTTTAATCACCTAAATAAAAAGAGTCAGAATTAGATGACATGTATAAGTAAACTACTTCCTGCTAGGTGTTATGTGATAAGAGCATCATGAATCAAGAATTCTATGCATCCATGAACTAAGTTGATGAAACTGAAAGCATATCACCATCACTGCAATCTGAATTATCACTCTGCACCATACTTACAGACTTGGATGATGCATCACGTTTATTCTCAGTCTGTTTCTTAAGCTTTGAACAATCTCTCTTTATATAACCCAGAACCTTGCACTTGTAGCAATGAATCGTCTTTTTGCCTTTAGACTTTAATCTAGAATTTTGTCTTCTAGAACCCTCCTTTTTCTTTCTTCCACGATCCTGATTGCCCTTAACATATAAACTGTCACCATGAAAGCTTTCTCCTGCATTTTGTTTCCGTTGGTTGTGAGCCAACAATGCTGCAATAATCTCATCAACTTTGATTGTTTCTTTTTTATATGTAAGAGTAGTCACCATGTGTTCATAAGAGGAAGGTAATTAACACAACATAATCATTGTTCGGTCTTCATCCTCAATACTCACATCAAGTCGTGATAAATCTGTGATTATTTGATTGAAGATATTCATATGCTGTGTCAGATCAGAGTTTTCTTGCATCTTCAGCTCATACACAGCTTTTGTTTCAAATACAATTTATGTATTAGTATTTGAGCATAAACTGAGTTTTCAATTCCTTCCATACCTCTCCTGGAAATGTTAGATTCATTACGCGATACATAACCTTATCTGTCAGACATAAACGTATGGTTGTTGTTGTTCGTTATTGCAACTCTCTCAAATGTTCTTCCTCCATGGTGTCTGGTTTCTTTTCCCGCAAAGCTTTCAAGATCCCTTGTTGTGTCAATAAATCTTTCACCCTTGTTTGCTACAATATGAAGTTACCAGTTCCATCAAACTTCAATACTTCGAGTTTTGCACCAGAGATTGTCATCCGAGATTAGTCCCACTGTGATCTTTTCCTATCTTGTGTTCTGCAGATTTCTGTTCCACCGAACCGTCGCGCGAAGATTTCTCTATCGCGAAAATTGTCGTACGAATCGTCTTCAAACCTTCTCATGTCGCGAGAATTTGGTCGCAGAACCCTCCCCTAGGCCGAAACCCTTCTCAAACTGTTCGCAGCCTTGCTCGCAAGCCCTCTGCGTTGTCGAACCCCTTCGCCGAATTGCTCGCAAGCCTTCTGTGTCGCTGAACTCCTTCGCTGAATTCGTGAATGTCGCGATTTGCAGATTTGCGTGCTCTTCTCGTGTCGAACTGCCAGAATTCTAGTCGAACTTTTCTGCCAAATCGCTGTATCCTTCTTCGTCCTTCCTGCGCCGATCTTTTCTGCCCTTGAAACTTGCTCAGATACCACTTGTTGAGAATTTTAGGGGAAAAAAAAACGAAAATTGACGCAAATCCATAAAGAAACATCGACACAAATCTAGAATAACAGAGATTTAACGAGATTCGACAAATATGCCTACGTCATCAGGAGCAGAGCGGCGGCTTTTCCTTTAATTCAGAAAAATGTTACAGAAATCAGGGATACCTCCTGGGGTTACAAACAAGCCCATTTATAACCCCAAGAGTAAATCTTAAGTACAATATGTAATTACAACATTACCCTTGTATCGTACCGCGGGACGTTACCCCCGCACCACCAACCTACATAACGTAACTTCCCGATTTGGACAGATTATTCTGCTCCGCTTCATTCCAGCGTCTGTTCCTATATGATATATGAGCCATACCATAATAAATCTCCACCTTAGCGAATATCCAGTCCCTTAGGAGAAAAAGATACCTGGGAGTTATACCTGTATCAATGTGGGTTGGGCCACCATGCTTCTCTAGCATTTGCATACATTCAACAAGACCAAGTAATGCAAGAACTTGTTGATAGTAACTGACTTGGTCAACATATCAGTTGCATTTTTATCAGTATGAACCTTCTGCAACAGTATCTCACCAGAAACAATCAATTCTCTGATCTTGTGATACCTAACATCAATGTGCTTGGTTCTCGCATGGTACACCTGGTTCTTAGCCAGATAAATAACACTCGCCATCTGCTGCTCTTAAATTCTTTTTCTTTTTATGAAGGTTGTTGATTGTCGCATATGCGGCGATCCTAACTCTGTTCTTCGATTCGCTTTTGTAGAGTTCACCGATGAAGGTAATTTTGTCTGCTACAATTTGGATATTGAATTATTGTCAATGCTTATATTTATGCAAACGGCTTTTTTATCATTTAATATGATGGATATGATTGTAAAACTTCAGAAGGTGCAAATGCTGCCCTAAGCATGTCAAGGACATTGCTTGGGTTTTACCCAGTAAGAGTGCTCCCTTCAAAAACCGCAATCGCACCTGTCGACCCTAAATTCTTGCCAAGGGTAAGAAAAATAATAGAACTGCCTGACTGGCTTACAATGTTAACCTTTGATGCTTTACTGAATCTCTGTCTGATATTACCTTGTTAATTATTTAATTTTTAGTCTGAAGATGAGCGTGAAATGTGCACAAGGACCATCTATTGTACAAATATTGATAATAAGGTATAAGTTCTAGATTATCTTGTTTCTCGTAGAAATAATTTTCTTCTTTTTCACCCATATTTATACATGTTAATGTTTTTATTGCTTAAAGGTTAACCAATCTGAGCTCAAAATTTTCTTCGAAAGATCATGCGGACCGGTTAGTTGTTCTGACTTCTGATTGCAAAAAAATTTCCTTGTGGGCAAAACAAAAATGAGAAAAAAGTGTCAAAGTGGTCCACAGACCTTTTTGCAAGACGTCATTTTAATTCTAGTGTCCATAGAAGTGTCAATTTACTCCACATATTCTTTTAATACAGGCTAAAATGGTCACTAATGAGGATTCTTTCAGTCCTATTTAAGGAGTTTGGAACTAACTTGACACTTTATGGACTGTGGGACTAAACTGGCCCCATGTAGTTTTTCAAACCTTGATTCTCATTGCAGAATTGAAATTAACTTGTTACAGGTGTATCATATGAGGCTGCTCGGAGATTATCATCATGCCACTCGCATCGCGTTTATTGAATTTGCAAGGGTTGGTATTTTCACCTTTCTGATCTCCTGTTGTCTTTCAAACATTCTTATAGTGTCGTTTTAATTTGTATTTTGTAGCTCAAACATGAAAATACATTTTGCAAAATTGTATCATATCCGGTGCTTGTAAATGGAACGGAAATTTGTATTTTGTATCTCAAAAATGAAATTACATTTTCTGAATTGTTTCATCCCCAATGCACGTAAATGGAACAGTAGCGGAAGTGAGAAATGAAGATGGGAGAAGAAACAATTTCGATACTATTTCTAAAAAGGCATTATGAAGTTTATTGATTTATGCAGTTCAAACGATTATTGTTGCATTTGAACTCATTGTCCACCTATATTGGTTATACTTTTAAGAAATGGGAGTCATGCAAGTTTAAGAAGGGAGATTTATATATACATGCACTCAAAACATTCCTATTTACAAATTTAGCACTCTCTTTCATCCATTTTTAAAATTCTCACTCAAAATATCAAAATTCAGAATAAACCCCAACCGATTTTCAATTTTACCAAATTCTCAATAGTGTGATCGTGGCACATGCAAATGTATTGTTTTTGTAGTTCAAAAAAAATCACCTGGGTGGTGCTAGTTTCATTAATAGTATTATTTCAAGTGTTGTGTATGTTATTATCCGTAATTATGTGAATGCCCCAAGATTTAATTGTGATGAAGATATATTGCATATTTAAAAATATAAAAGAAACTTTGTAAACGTTCCTATTGTTTGATTGGTACATAGATTCAAATCTGCACAGGAGAAAAAGTTTGAAACTAGAAAATCACTCAGGCTTTTGCTTTTTGCTTTTTCAGGCTGATAGTGCAATTGCTGCACTCAACTGTAGTGGCGCTAGACTGGGGTCCTTGCCATTAAGGTATTTTCCTTAACCCCAACTTCTGCTGAAATGCTGAATATGTTCAATCTTTAATATTTTTTTTCCAAAAGAAAATTTACATATCTAACACTTTAAATTTCAATTTTTGCATGCATGCCACTTTGCGTATGAATGAAAAAGGTGTATTTAACTTTTTAAAAGTTAAAATGGTGCTATTTTCAATGTGATATGAAAGATTTGAGCGGCATAAATGCAAAAAGTAAAACTTTGGCGTTAAATATGTAAATATAAAGGAATTGGGTGGTATGTTTGTTAATGTCCCTTTCCCAAAACTTCATAACCTATTTTTTGTGTTCATTATTACTATATATTAGGGTGAGTCCTTCAAAGACTCCGGTGCGCCCTCGAGCAACTAGAACTTGATACATATACAAAGGCAACTTAAGGTACTATGCAGTTTGTTCTATTGTTCATTTCGTTTTGATTTGATTTGGTTTATTTTGTTGGATCCTCGGCATATCGGAAGGAGTTGGTTGAATCCTTGAGGCTTACAAATTTATCACAAACTGATGCTTGACTGGATATCTATTGTCAAAGCTTTTGTAGAATTATTATAGATATTTTTATTGAAACTTGAGATTATTGGGTTTCCAGTTTACCATTTATGCTGGATTCAGTTTGGCAGGATAGATATTGTGCTTTGATTATTGGCGAAATATTACATCCGAACTCCGGATCACAAATTTTAACACTAACTAATCCCAATATATTACGGTGGGCCCACTTGACACGTGGTGACCCACCATTAAACTCCGGATGCATCCAGTGTCCTGACTTAATATTTTTTCGTGATTATTGGTTCATATTGGATCAGGTACGCAACAAATAAATTAATAACTGCTGCTTTAAATCGGCTATTTAATTTGCTAGAAAATCACTCAGGCTTTTGCTTTTTGCTTTTTGCTTTTGGAAGAGAGTGACTGCTTAAATAGGTCAATAATAATAATAATAATAATAATAAGGTGCAGTCATCAATTGTTCAATCAAATCATAAATAAATATAAATGATGGGAGGGTTCAGAGTGAGTTATTGAGCATTCATTAGATGGTTAGAAAAATGGAAGATAAATGCAAATGATTCCTAAGGCGCCGGTTTGGACCGTTCGGTTTTCAAATATGTTAAACTGATTACAACTAAAATATGAAATCCGACAATTTGAAGTAGCCAAAATAATGATAAAATTAAACCACCAAAGTTTGATTTGGTTAAAATATCAGTTTTTAGCCTTTTTAATTTATTCGGTTAAATGAAAATTGAAAATAAAGTAATAATAATAAAAAATTGAATATTTAGGTTTCATTTGCATTTCCAGAGTTTTGATGAAGCCCGTCGCAAGCCGACGTTGCTGTCCGGATGGCCCAATATTTAATTTATTTATGAGTTTTTGGTCTTGCGTCAGCGATACATTGCCTTCAATTGTATACATTGTACGCATTGACTCCAAGACTTTAATATTTTTTATTTAATTAAATGAGGCTTTTCTTAAGAAATTTCGTCGCAGACTTTATATTTTTGTGTTGTTGTTGAGAAAATCTGTATCGTGCAAGTTGATAAAGGCAAATATCACATCAGTTTACTTTGTCAATCATAAATTAGAAGCAGGCTCCCGTTGTAATATTTGATTATTGGAAGATTTAGAGCCTGTTTGAGCAGCTGTAGTTTATTGAATAATCTGCTGATAAATTGATAAAAAATAATCTGTTGATAAGTTAGGTGCGGTGACTGTTACAAATTTTTATTTTTGTGAAAGAGTCAGACCGCAGCCATAAAACTCCCACCACACCTAGATAGATGCGGCTATCTATTGTCAAAGCTTTTGTAGAATTATTATAGACATTTTAATTGAAACTTGAGATTATTGGGTTTCCAGTTTACTATTTATGTTGGATTCAGTTTGGCAGGATAGATTTTGTGCTGTGATTATTGGCGAAATATTACACCCCAACTCCGGACCACAAATTTTAACACTAACCAATCTCAATGTATTACGGTGAACCCACTTGACACGTGGTGACCCACCATTGGACTCTGGATGCATCCAGAATCCTGACCTAATATTTTTTCGTGATTATTGGTTCATATTGAATCAGATACGCAACAAATAAATAAATAAATAATAAATAAATAACTGCTGCTTTAAATCGGCTATTTAATTTCGAGTTTAAGAAGAGAGTGACTGCTTAAATAGGTCAATAATAATAGTAATAAGGTGCACCAGTTTACCCAAACAGGTCAGGTACGTTTTCAAAACACCCCAACGGATCCTTAGGTACATCACACTTGTCCAAAACTTTTACATACTCATCCTTATTTATGCATAAAAAATATATTATATATTTTAAAAATTAAAATAGTGATATTTCCATATGATATGGAAGATTAGAGCGGTACATCTATAAGCATCAATTGTTCAATCAAATCATAAATAAATATAAAGGATGCAGGGTTCAGAGTGAGACATTGAGCTTTTATTAGGTGGTTAGAAAAACGTAAGATAAATGCAAATGATTCCCAAGGCGCCGGTTTGGATCGTTCCGTTTTCAAATTTGTTAAACTGATTACAACTAAAATATGAAATCCGACGATTTGAAGTAGCCAAAATAACGTCACAAGCCGCCGTTGATGTCCCGATGGCCCAATATTTAATTTATTTATGAGTTTTTGGTCTTGCGTCAGCGATACATTGCATTTAATTGTATACATTGTACGCATTGACTCGAAGACTTTATTATTTTTTATTTAATTAAATGAGGCTTTTCTTAAGAAATTTCGTTGCAGACTTTATATTTTTGTGTTGTAGTTGAGAAAATCTGTATCGTGCAAGTTGATAAAGGCATATATCACATCAGTTTACTTTGTCAATCATAAATTAGAAGCAGGCTGCCCTTGTCATATTTGATTATTGGAAGATTTAGGGTCTTTGATTAATGGAAGATTTAGGGTCTATTTAGGCAACTGTAGTTTATTGAATAATCTGCTGATAAATTGATTAAAAATAATCTGTTGATAAGTTAGGTGCGGTGGCTATTATAAATTTTTATTTTTTTAAAAAAGTCAGACTGCAGCCATAAAGCTCCCACCACACCTAGATAGGTGCGGCATGAAAATGTTGTTTTCAACGTTTTGAAAACGCATAAGCTGCCAAAACGCAATTTACCCAAACAGGTCAGGTACGTTTTCAAAATAAGCTGTCCGTACATCACACTTGTCCAAAAGTTTTACATACTCATCCTATTTATGCATAAAAAATATATTATATATTTTAAAAATTAAAATAGTGATATTTCCATATGATATGGAAGATTTGAGCGGTACATCTATAAGAAGTAATATTTAGGTGTTAGATGTGTAAATACATAAGAATTGGGTGGTATTTATGTAAATGCCTTTATTATTATTTAATCTTTTATGAGGTTTAAAATATGATAATAATTTTCAGGTACAACTTAGAAGTAGACTGAATAAGGTTTGTTCAATGTTAGTCTTGAATCTTATAATGAATATATGTTGACCCTTCCTTATCGTACTAAAAGATATATTAAACTTTGTGTTGGAAAGTTTCAAATACTTTGATGTTTTCAATCATGTCTTAAGGACTTGATTTAGGTTCTTTTGTCTTTGATTCAGACTGCCTTCGACGTTGTCGGGTTTGGCTTAACAAAACATTGTTAAATTTACTCTAAATTTGTTAAAATGGGGTGTCTAATGATTCAAATATTGATGCTAGAGTTTTATAATACAAAAAGTGTAATGATTATATTTAATTGGGAAGATTTTCACTTATCATTTCAACTAAAATAGATTTTATTTATAAAAAAATTCAAATGATAATGTAATAGATTAGATTGGGGAATAAAAATATTTTTTAATGTAGAAATTTTTATAAAATGATAAGAGATGTGTCTACTATAATTGCAGTATATGCAATCTTCAAAATGAACTGAAGAAACTGCCTTAAATGGACCTTTAGCCAAGATTAGTTAGGAGGGGGCAAAATAATGTTCATAAAGGAATAAGAAAAATTACTTAGTGGTGAATGTTTTTGATAAAAAAATACAGAAAATAAATTGGGGTCATTAAAACCTTTAAATATTGAAAACATAGGGGAAAGATGAAGCAAATAGCTAAGTTCACGATCTTGAAGAAAGCTTTAGACCAACTACCAATAGAAATCTTTGTCGACTATTACATGTGGCTCTTGTTACCAAACTATTATCGTGTGACTATTGTAGACCAAGTACTGTCTTGTGTTGTTGTTCCCTAATCTTTGTAATCAAGTCAAAAACTTGTAACAATATGTCCTCCAGTTAGAGAAAATAACGAATCTTTGTAATTTTAAATACATAGTGGATTATTTGTGTCTGGTTTAGGCCTCACAATTTTTTTTTCCTTTCTAGATATTCCACGTAAAGTCTATGATGTCTCATCATTCTATAATTCTTTTATCTGTGTGTGTTTTATCGTCATCAATGTTAATACATTAATCTATTGTGAATTTTATAGCACTCAACAATAATGAAAATTGAATTGGGTAGATAGAAAATGCAATCACCTAAAGTTTTGAAGATGAGCTGAGATTTGCATTAATGGTCCACCTGAATTATAAGAGTATATTTAGGGTTTAAGAAATTTTATTTTGATTTGCTTTTCTCTATTCTTTTTGTGTTTTAGTTTCATTTCTTAAATCTCTAGCTTGGATTACCCGTAGGTTGGTTTATAAATTAGTTAATTTTTTTATCTAAATCACAAAGAAAAAAGCACGAGTGAAATAATAATTTTAACTGAACTAAATCTTATTAAGATGAAACAAAAATTAAATTCAAGTATTGGACACTGGCCGACCGACAATTTACCCAGTCCAAGTCGGTTGGCTCATTTGACCGTGGAAAGAATTGAGCGAGGAGTAATAGGAATGTTCAGACTTATTACCTGCTCTCCATAATTTCTCTTCAGCTTCATCTTACCTCTGTTCTCCCAGAGTCGCTCTTCTCGATTATTTGCAGCCGTCTCCTCTCTGTACCAGGAGAAAAATTTGCGTACAAGACGTACGCAGTGCTGCGTACGTCAACGAGGTTAGTCACAGGGTATTGGGGGGTATATCTACGTTATACCTCTTGTAATCTCCTTGTAACCTAGATGTACCTTTTAGTAAGTTCTGTGCTTCTATTTTCATATATTTGTAGGTTACAGATAGGTTACAGGTATGTTACAGAACAGTTACAGAGGATACAATGCGGATATAACCCTCCAATACCCTTTGAATAACCTCACTGACGTACGCAGCACTGCGTACGTCTTACGTATGCAAATTTTTCTCCTATACCAGGATTTCTGAGGAAATGAAAAGAGTCATACTCCGTGCAAAATCATGTATAATGTCTAATATGTCCCCATGTATATTTACAAGTATGCAATTCAATTCTCTATATGTATGGCTTGTAATTACTATTGTATGCAATATTCTATAATGGAATAAAATGAAGTATGTTTCATTTATCTTTCTCCAAGGTTTCTTGTCTATCTTTTTTTCTTCGTCTCTTCTAATTCCCTTAATCTTCTCAAGGAGGCAAATTTTAACTGAACTAAATCTTATTAAGATGAAACATAAATTAAATTCAAGTATTGAACACTGGCCGACCGACAATTTACTCGGTCCAAGTCGGCTGGCTCGTTTGACTGAGGAAAGAATTAAGCGAGGAGTAATAGGAATGTTCAGACTTATTACCTACTCTCCAAAATTTCTCTTCAGCTTCATCTTACCTCTGTTCTCCTAGAGTCGCTCTTCTCAATTATTTGTAGCTGTCTCCTCTCTGTACCAGGAGAAAAATTTGTGTACAAGGCGTACGCATTGCTGTGTATGTCAGGGAGGTTATTCAGAGGGTATTGATACCTCTTGTAACCTACATGTACATTTTAGTAAGTTCTGTGCTTCTGTTTTCATATATTTGTAGGTTACAGATATGTTACATGTAGGTTACAGAGCGGTTACAGAGGGTATAATGTTGATATAACCCTCCAATACTCTTTGAATAACCTCACTGACGTACGCAGCACTGCGTACGTCTTACGTACACAAAATTTTCTCCTATACCAGAGTTTCTGAGGAAATGAAAAGAGTTATATTCCGTGCAAAATAATGTATAATTTCTAATATGTCCCCATGTATATTTACAAGTATGCCATTCAATTCTCTATATGTATGGCTTGTAATTACTATTGTTTGTAATATTCTATAAGGGAATAAAATGAATTATGTTTCACTTATCTTTCTTCAAGGTTTCTTGTCTATCTTTTCTTCTTCCTCTCTTCTATTTCCCTTAATCTTCTCAAGGAGGCGGCAAATTTCAACTCTAAGCCTATAGAAAATTCAAGTGTATAATTTTTTTTGCATGCAATCTTGCTAAAATATTTATTCGATAGAAAAATCATATATATATA